GTGTAGAGGCACGGCGAGAGGAACTGGTTAGGCAGCAGAGGGAGCGGAGGTTTATGAGGAAACCCAGTCCCGCTCCTCGCACCAAGCAAGTGGTGTGTGTCACCAGTCCGGTCCGGCCCGTTCCTGATTCCCGCACAAGGCCAGTGGTGTGTGTTCCCAGTCCGGTCCGGCCTGTTCCTGCTCCCCGCACCAAGCCAGTGGTGCGCGTCGCCAGCCCGGTCCGGCCCGTTCCTGCTCCCCGCACCAAGCCAGTTGTGCGCGTCGTCAGTCCGGCACGGCCCGTGCCTGTTCCACCGGTGCCTGGTCCGGCACCGGGCAGCTGCTCCACTCCGGAGCCAGAGCCTGTCCAGTCCAGCTCTGGCCAGCGGGACCAGATCAGGGGCGCTACGGGGAGGTGGAGAGAGAGTGGTGGTCACGCCCGGAGCCGGATCCGCCTCCGAGGCGGAATGCACACCCGGCCCCTACCCTCTTGTGTTTGGTGGGCGCGGTCGCAGTCCGCGCCTTTGGGGGGGGGGGGGGGGGGGTACTGTCACGCCCTGGCTCTGGGGACTCTTAAATGTTGAGCCAGGGTGTGGATTTTCATTGTTTAGTTTTCTATGTTTTTCGTTCTAGATCGTTTATATCTATGTTGGCCAGGGTGGTTCCCAATCAGAGACAGCTGTAGCTCGTTGTCTCTGATTGGGGACCATACTTAGGCAGCCTTTTGGCATGTTAGTTTTGTGGGATCTTGTTCCGTAAGGTTTTGTGTTATAACCTAGGACTTCACATATCGTTTGTTTATTGTTTTGATCGTGTGTTAAGTACAATAAAGAATGTACGCTTATCAGGCTGCGCCTTGGTCCGCTTCATCTGTCGACGACTGTGACAGCTTTGCCCCATTGAATAAAACATTATTTCTTATAGCCTGACTATTTTATTTATTTACAATTTAAACACATTTAGCGTAGACAATGTAATTGTTGTGGTGGTCTTAGGAAAACCATCTTCATTATCACAGTGGCACTTCGAAGTGCCACTCACCTTCTGGGAGAAAAGTATCTGGCATTGAACTTGGTAGTAGTAGTTGTGTGTATGTTTTAAGCTAATGATCCCATCATCTCCTGCTTCCAAGGGTTGGATTTGCACTAAACAATTTCAATGTAAGCACAAGGCATGTACACAATTCATTATAATGATTAGCCTCATACACATTGTCTACTGGTATAGGTTTTACATTTGAGAACATATAGCGGAACAATATGTAAACAATGTGTGAGTTAAGCTATTCTCTGCTTCAGATGCACAATGTCAAGGGCTGCATTGCAAATGCCCATAAGGCTAATGGCATCATACTGTAGGACAGTGGTTCACAACTCCGATCCTCGAGTACCCCCAACAGCCCAACTCCGATCCTCGAGTACCCCCAACAGCCCAACTCCGATCCTCGAGTACCCCCAACAGCCCAACTCCGATCCTCGAGTACCCCCAACAGCCCAACTCCGATCCTCGAGTACCCCCAACAGCCCAACTCCGGTCCCCGAGTACCCCCAACAGTACAGTGTGTTGTAGCCACGGACAAACACACCTGATTCAACTTGTCAACTAATCATCAGGCCCTATGAGTTGAATCAGGTATGTTTGCTCGGGGCTACAACAAAAATGTGTGCTTTTGGGCGTACTGGAGGACTGGAGTTGGGCGTACTGGAGGACTGGAGTTGGGCTGTTGGGCGTACTGGAGGACTGGAGTTGGGCTGTTGGGCGTACTGGAGGACTGGAGTTGGGCTGTTGGGGGTACTGGAGGACTGGAGTTGGGCGTACAGGAGGACTGGAGTTGGGCTGTTGGGGGTACTGGAGGACTGGAGTTGGGCTGTTGGGCGTACTGGAGGACTGGAGTTGGGCTGTTGGGCGTACTGGAGGACTGGAGTTGGGCTGTTGGGGGTACTGGAGGACTGGAGTTGGGCTGTTGGGGGTACTGGAGGACTGGAGTTGGGCTGTTGGGCGTACTGGAGTTGGTAACCACTGCTGTAGACCTATGGCTGCATTGGCATTGCATGACATTATCAGCTGCTAAATGGGTTCACTAAAGGTCATGTTCATTTCATAATACAACAAAGAAACAGACAAATTACAGACGGATTCCCTTCCCCTCTTTATTGTAGGGTTGTGATCTGTTAATAATCAATATCGACACTAGTTCATCTTGAATAATAAATAGTTAACAAGTTTAAATACTTAACTTCAAAGAATCAATACTATTTCATATAATTTCAAAGTGTACAAGTAAGCTAACTCATATGTAAAGGTTAGACATTTTAGTAACAAGTAGGCTATTATTACTAAAGCATAATTTCATGTGAACAAAAAAAAGTCAATACCAGAGGTGTCCAACCTCGCTCCACTGATCCCTGAACTACTGGGTGAGCAGACTTCAACCTCGCTCCACTGATCCCTGAACTACTGGGTGAGCAGACTTCAACCTCGCTCCACTGATCCCTGAACTACTGGGTGAGCAGACTTCAACCTCGCTCCACTGATCCCTGATCTACTGGGGGAGCAGACTTCTATTCCAGCCCAGCAACAGCACACTTGATTATTAACTAATTAGGTTTGATACATTGAATCAGGTGTGTTGGTGCTGGGCTGGATCAGAAGCCTGCACACCCAGTAGGGTTGGCCTGCTCCAGTTGTAATAGGTTTATACATTGTGTGTGACTTTTAAACTGTATTTTTGCTCACAAAATGTGCTAACATAGGTACACATTAGTGGAGGCTGCTGAGGGGAGGACGGCTCATAATAATGGCTGGAACGGAGCCAATGGAATGGCATCAAACACATGGGAACCATGTGTTTGATGTATTTGATACCATTCCACTGATTCCGCTCCAGCCATTACCACGAGCCCGTCCTCCCCAATGAAGGTGCCACCAACCTCCTGTGGTACAAATATAATCCATGGTATACAAGGATGTACACTGATTCTCTTGGGACATTCATTGGGAGCTCTTCATCTGCAGACAGGGTTTCACAGTGCTCTGAATCTGAGTCGCTAGGGACTGGAACTGGAGAATACTTTCATAATGTCCTCCCACAAAGGTACCTGCCCTATCCAGAGTAGCCTACTCTCCCTTCTCTGACAGCTGGAAATGCTAGCTAATCCTTTCACCCTCTTCCATGGCTGTTAGCTAGCTACCTAGCTACAAATGCATTTAGAATTACAATGATAAATAGATCAAGATAGCTAGCTAACTAGCTAATATGAAGTTAGCAAGCTGGTGATATTTATTTCACTTTGCTAGCTATACAGGATGTAAAGGTTAGCTAACTAGCTAACATTACGTTAGCAGCTCATTTGAGTTAGCCTGCACTGCACACTAAGTTACTGTAGCAAGCTAGCTAGCTAATAATACATTTTTTATCATTTCAAAATATATTTACTTACTTGAATAGGTTCTCCCACTGCGTCCCATTTTCTGGGTCCTTAGAAAAACCAAATAATGGGCAATCTTCCGGAAGTTTCCGGTGGTAGCAAAACGCAGCCAGCCATGTGGACGATTGGAGAACTTCCAACAGACTGACTGTGGTCTTCCAACGTGGTGCCTGAAGGAGTTACTAGATGATTTGTGAAGCAACTGCAAGCCCTCTATGGGGGCAGCCGAATAACCATTTTAGGTTTAGATTTTTCTAAGAGTGTAGAGAATAGGGTGTCATTTGGGACAGAGCCTTAGTGTTTCCTCTGCCTCTTAACACCTTGCTGCCTCCCTCAGGGGAGAGACGTACCTCTCTGACTCATAACCACTGAGACTAAACATGGAGGGAATAGTGTGTGTGTGAGAGAGAGAGAAAAAGAGAGAGAGAGAGAATCTGTGTGTACTGTGCATTCGGAAAGTATTCCCTTTACGTTTTCCACATGTTGTTATGTTACAGCCTTATTCTAAAATGGATTAAATACATTTTTCCCTCATCAATCTACACACAATACCCCATAATGGCAAAGCAAAAACAGGTTTTTAGACATTTTTGCAAATTTATAAAAAATAAAAAACAGAAATACCTTATTTACATAAGTATTCAGACCCTTTGCTATGAGACTTTAAATTGAGCTCAGGTGCATCCTGTTTCCACTGATCATCCTTGAGATGTTTCTACAACTTGATTGGAGTCCACCTGTGGTAAATTAAATTGATTGGACATGATTTGGAAAGGCACACACCTGTCTATATAAGGTCCCACAGTTGACAGTGCATGTCAGAGCAAAAACCAAGCCATAAGGTTGAAGGAATTGTCTGTAGAGCTCCCAGACAGGATTGTGTCGAGGCACAGATCTGGGGAAGGGTACCAAAACATTTCTGCAGCATTGAAGGTCCCCAAGAACACAGTGGCCTCCATCATTCTTAAATGGAAGAAGTTTGGAACCACCAAGACTCTTCCTAGAGCTGGCCGCCCGGCCAAACTGAGAAATCAGGGAGGTGACCAAGAACCCGATGGTCACTCTGACAGAGCTCCAGAGTTCCTCTGTGGAGATGGGAGAACTTTCCAGAAGGACAACCATCTCTGCAGCACTCCACCCATCAAGTCTCTGAATGTCCTTGAGTGGCCCAGCCAGAGCCCAGAATTGAACCCGATCGAACATCTCTGGAGAGACCTGAAAATAGCTGTGCAGCGACGCTCCCCATCCAACCTGACAGAGCTTGAGAGGATCTGAAGAGAAGAATGGGAGAAACTCCCCAAATACAGGTGTGCCAAGCTTGTAGTGTCATACCCAAGAAGACTCGAGGCTGTAATCGCTGCCAAAGGTGCTTCAATAAAGTACTGAGTAAAGGGTCTGAATACTTATGTAAATGTGATATTTCCGTTTTTTATTTTTAATAAAAAACTCCATATTAATGCCCATGATTTTGGAATGAGATGTCCATGTAGAGTACTTCATCACACACACACACACACACACACACACACACACACACACACACACACACACACACACACACACACACACACACTCTCTCAAAGAGGCTCAGTAATGAAAGGTCAGTGATGCTGCCCCCCCCCACACATACTGTGGAAGATGTCTTGATGACATTAGAAGAGGGCTATGGTCATTTTGTCAGGGTTTGTCTATTCAGGAACAGGTCTGTTTGATTATACATCTGTCAGTGTAGGCCGATGGAGCGTCTGCTAATAATGACGTATTGTGTGAGGATTCTCTTGTCACAACAGTTTATTCACATCTATGATAATTGATGAATTCAATATGTGAGTCATTTGTGAACTATAGCCTGCAGTCTCTATCTACTTCTGTCACTTCAGTTATGGAAATCAGGTGTTAGGAGAATTTTGCTCATTCAAGATGAAACTCAATGTTGTGTGTGTGTGTGTGTGTGTGTGTGTGTGTGTGTACACGTGTCTTCTCCAGGTGGTCCATCCAGGTGGTCTTCGTCCCACTGTGACTGCAAGAGCCACAAGAGCGAGCGCGAGGGAGAGAGTGGCACTTCTTTGAACGAGCTCTCTACTTCCTGCTCCGAGACCCAATCAGAAGCCAGCTCCCCTCAGGGCACCATCATCTGTGGGCCTGTCAGCCGACAGCCTCACCCCATCGCCCAGACCCTGGACCGGCCACTGAAGAAAGGTGTGGGTGTACCTCTCCTCTTGTACCTCCTGTTTTGCGCCTTTCCCCTTGGGTGACCTTGGGTGACCTTGGGTGTTTTGAAAGGCGCCTGTCAAATAAAATCTCTTGTTCTTCTTCTCCTCCCACTCCTCCCTAAAGGTCCCGTTCAGCTGCTCCAGCCGTCGGAGGTGAGGAGGAAGACGGACCTGCTCCGGGTGAAGACCATGGGGATCAGGGAGCACAGGGAGGCTGCAGCCAAGAGGAAAGCCAACAAGGAGAAGTTAACACCGGAGCAGGAGCTGGAGAGGTGCATCCAGGACTTCCACAGGATCAGGATTCCTGACCGCTTCCCGGAGAGGAAGTACATGTGGCAACAAGAGCTGCTGAGGAAGTACCGTCTCTAAGGAGAGGGAGGGATGGGAGGGAGAAGGGGAAGTGGAAGAGGGAGGGGGAGAAGGGGGAGGGAGGGCGAGAGGAGGGAAGAGGGAGAGAGGGAGGGCGAAGGGGGAGGGAGGGAGAAGGGAAGTGGAAGAGGGGAAGGTGAGGATAAGGGGGGTTGAGGGCAAGGGAAGTGGGGAGGGGGGGGGGGTTTTTGGAGGGAGGGGGTGGAGGCGGGGAGGAGAAGGGAGGGGAGGGGGGGTGAGGGGAGGGGAGGTTGGTAGGGAGGTAGGTAGGGAGGGGTAGGTGGGCGTGGTTCGGGAGGGGCGGTGCGTAGGGAGGGAGGTAGGTGGCGCATTGTAGGGAGCGGGGAGGTAGTAGAATCAATCAATGTTATTGGTCAATGCGCCGATACAACAGGTGTAGCTTCAGTGATGCTTACTTACAGCCCTTAACCACAATGCAGAGTTAAAAAGTAAGCAATATTTGCTAAATAAAAGAAGAGTAACACAATAAAATACATAACGAGGTATACAGGAAGTACCAGTACTGAGTCAATGTCGGTTACAGGTGTAATGAGGCTATATACAAGAGTACCAGTATCGAGTCAATGTGCAGGTACTGTAAACTAAACAAAAAAGAGTCAATGAATACATATAAGAGGCTATATACAGGAGTACCAGTACTGAGTCAATGTGCGGGTTACCAGGTAGTAATGAGGCTATATACAAGGAGTACCAGTACTGAGTCAATGTGCAGGGTTACCAGGTAGTAATGAGGCTATATACAAGGAGTACCAGTACTGAGTCAATGTGCAGGGTTACCAGATAGTAATGAGGCTATATACAAGGAGTACCAGTACTGAGTCAATGTGCAGGGGTACGAGGTAGTTGAGGTAATACAGTATGTACATGTGGGTAGGGGTAAAAGTGACTAGGCAATCAGGAAATAGTAACACATGAAATAGTAACACAATAAAAACAACGAGGCTGTGTAGAAGGGACAGGAGAGAGAACGAAAGCGGGATGGAGGGAGGGAAGGAGGGCTCCATTTACTAATAGACTGCAGCACTCTCAAAGACAATCATGTACTGTACTAGAGAAAATGAAGAAATCAAGGACACTGTATTGCAGAACACAGCATGTATTGTATTGCCAGCGTGTACAGGAGAACACAGTGAATCTAGCACAAAACCAGGCCACATTTGTCAAGGGTTTGTGATGTGTGCACAGTGTCCTTTTGTGATATGCACTTGTGTTAACCAGGTCACTTCTGTTGGGGTTCAAATCCCGGTCACTGCAGGGGACACTATAGCCCCACTCCCTGTGGGGAAAGTCATGGTTAGCCTGTTGAGCTAAAGGCTACTTCACCTGTTCAAGCAACGAACCAACCTCAGGGGCAATGGGATACACCGCAATCAGCTCACCAAGCTCCATCACCATCACAAGCTCCATCACACATGTGCAGTTACAGCTAGCTAACGCTTGATGTGGAATGAGTTGGTAGCCATAGTGTCAGTGTTTTCTATGGATGTATCAGTATGTATGGGTTCTGTACAGAAGGAAAAGACTATCGCTGTACCTCTGGTTCACAGTTAGCCACAGTGTGTCTATGGATGTATCAGAATGGTTCTGTGGTTCTGTGTCAGGCGGAACCATCACAGAAGATGTCACATCTCTTTATTGTACTACAACAACAGCACTGCATGTCATTTCACCCCAGAAGACTATAATGTCAGTAATATGGTATGAGGCTCATCAAATAGATGCTGTTAATTTATTATGTGTGGTGTATAAATCCAAGGGTGCATCCGTAGTTGCACCCTATTCCCTATGTAGTGCACTATATAGGGAATAGGGTGCCATTTGGGACATAACCCAATACTGTATGTCGTGGTGACTGAGTGAGGCCAACTTCATGGAGGAGAGCACTGCCTAGATTTTCTGTTCGCTATTGTAAACATTATTGTCTGAATTTGTCAATATGTAATTTATGTGTAGTATAGGAAAACATGAAGGTAGGCTGCAGTACATAATGATGACGGGTATTCAAAGATCCCCTGATTGTAAGTGTGCAAAAACTCTATTAAATGAGTTGAAAATGCAATTACTTGTGTGTCTCTACTGACTCTTTGACAGCATTGCTGACTGAATTGAACGGGTGACTGTGCAGTTGTGTTTCTAGGATCAAAAAATGAAATAAGTACAGGGTTATGTCTCAAATGGCACCCTATTCCCTCTACAGTGCACTACTTTTGACCACTCTTGTCGAAAGTATTGTATAATAGGGTGTCTTTTCACAGCACAGGTCTAATTTATTTCAGAACTTATTTTCAGAGTTATATTCCCTCTGATCCTCTCGCTACCCCTCTCACTGAGTTGAGTTGACAGAATTAAATATTAGCTGGGATGACACAAAATGATCCAAGGAGGATTTAGTAGGCTTCTTCCCTGACAATGAGGCAGAGTTTGGAGAGTTTCTCCCTAATTTCTCTGGATAAATCGCTCCGTTGGATTCCCATCAAAAATCCTCCCCCATCTAGTCCGCGTCCCAAATGCCACCCTATTCCCGCTATAGTGAACTGTCACCCTATTCCCTCTATAATGCACTATGTCACCCTATTCCCTCTATAATGCACTATGTCACCCTATTCCCTCTATAGTGCACTATGTCACCCTCTTCCCTCTATAATGCACTATGTCACCCTATTCCCTCTATAATGCACTATGTCACCCTATTCCCTCTATAGTGCACTATGTCACCCTCTTCCCTCTATAATGCACTATGTCACCCTATTCCCTCTATAATGCACTATGTCACCCTATTCCCTCTATAGTGCACTATGTCACCCTCTTCCCTCTATAATGCAATATGTCACCCTATTCCCTCTATAGTGCACTATGTCACCCTATTCCCTCTATAGTGCACTATGTCACCCTATTCCCTCTATAGTGCACTATGCCACCCTCTTCCCTCTATAGTGCACTATGTCACCCTATTCCCTCTATAGTGAACTGTCACCCTATTCCCTCTATAGTGCACTATGTCACCCTATTCCCAGTATATGGTGCACTACTTTTGACCAAAGCCCTATAGGTCCTCGTCAAAAGTAGTGCACTATGTAGGGAATAGGGTGCCATTTCAGACACGACCACTCTTTCGTCCTCCCACACTCCCTAGTCTTGCACTCTCGCCAAACATTTTTTGAGTTTAGAAGAAGTGTCCTGACATCTTAATGTATCTATCTCTTCCTGTTGAGAGGTTCTCAGAGAAACATGAAGAAGAAGAAACGTAGTGTTGCGTCCCAAATGACACCCAATTCGCTTATGTAGTGCACTACTTTTGACCAGAGCTAAAGTATTGCACTATAAAGGTAATAGGGGCCTATTTGGGACATAGTCGTAGCTATGCATCACAAGCCCCATTTATAGGATATAACTATTTTTAGCTCGTAATAGATTCTGCCGTGTCGCCACATTGCATCCGCTAAGGAAGAAGCTCCGGGACCACAGAGCCGCAACCCCAAAAACAGTGTGTGTGTGATGGATGAAGCGTGTGTGTTTGTGTGTGTTTGTGTGTGTGTGTGTGTGTGTTTGTGTATGTTTGATGGATGAAGAACTGTCTCTCTCTTGGGAGAACGATGACGATGTTTGTCTTTCAACAAAAGTTCACTGGAAAAAGCTTTTTGTTTTGTAGCTACTAAAGGACACACAATACTGGCTAATGTATAGGCCAACAGTACAGAATAACAGTGTTTCCAATACTGGGTAAAGTATAGGCCAACATTACAGAATAACAGTGTTTCCATAGTCTTACAAACTGAAGGTATACTGCTGGGCCTTGATAGTTCAAGTTTTGTTGCTAGCCTACTAAAGGGCACATAAGTTAGACTGTGTAGTACACAAGCTAGACTGTGTAGTACACAAGCTAGACTGTGTAGTACACAAGCTAGACTGTGTAGTACACAAGCTAGACTGTGTAGTACACAAGCTAGACTGTGTAGTACACAAGCTAGACTGTGTAGTATACAGCAGAGATTAAGAGTTTTTCTATAGTCTTATAAACTGTAGGTTCTGGGTGCAGGTACTTTTCTTTCACTTTAACAATTATGAATTGAGCCACATAAGCCAGGTCACTAAAGACCAAGGATTCACATCCATCTATTTTATATGCAGCGGCAGCATCGACGGAAAAAGTGAAAATCATCTCCTATATTCTCAGGGCTTAATTCTCCCAGTTGAGTTTGTGAACTGGATATAAGAAGCTGAAAAACAGGGAGAGGACATTGTGTCCTCCAGTGGAACAAAATATTTCTAAAGACTCTGAGACTATAATATATTAAACTAGACTTTAAAAAGAAAACTGTATATTGAATGTTATTCTCCTGGCTACAAAGCAGTCTCTATCTCTTCACCCTCCCCACCTCTATTTAATAGAATCCCAGCGGGAAACCTCAGAACGAAACCCAACACTTCTTTCTCTCATCTTTTAAACCAGATCCCCATCCAAACATCACATGGCATTTCAACCCCGCTCTTAGCATGACCCCAACCTTCTAATACCGTGATGACAAATCGATGCATCTGATTTTGCATATCAAATATATCCCGGCTATCAGCATCAAAGACACGGCCTTGGTCGCACCATTTTCCTGGTTGAAGATACTGGCCCCTGATGGCCCCACTGGCCTATCCCACAAACCCATCTGACCCCCACCCCAGGCCCGCCCCTCCCTCTCCCAACCCCCCTCTCCTCTCCCCTCCTCTCCTCTACCTCTCCTCTCCTCTCCTCTTCCTCTCCTCTCCTCTTCCTCTCCTCTCCTCTCCTCTCCTCTCCTCTCCTCTCCTCTCCTCTCCTCTCCTCTCCTCTCCTCTCCTCCTCTACAGGGTATATTACCACAATAGAGCAATAGAGTGGAACTCTGGACCTAACCCTTTTAAAGTAGTGCACTAAATAGGCAATAGGATGCCATTTGGGGCCTGACACTGGTCTATAGACTGGACGCCTACCTGGAGCTCCTGACAGC